CTTGCAAGCGCTAAGCAGCGGTAGCATGGATGAGGATTTTAGGAAGGCTATCTTTTGAATATATTTATCCTCAACATAAACTTAATTATTCTTGTACATTCTGGACATGATGCAAATTATTCTGCCAAAAAGACTTAAGTGTTGCTGTATTTTCAGTAATTAATGAAACAGTAGGAGCCCAATGAAGGACATACAGCTGCTCTTCTAAAATGTAATAGTATTACAAACAATTAGAATGTTTTTTGCACTGATAGGTTTCTAGAGTGGGTATGCATGTAGTGTGTAAATCAACAGCTCAGCTCTGACAAGCAGTTGTACAGAGAGATAGTAAGTACATGCATGGCCTTTAGGTAGCTCACTTGCATTTGTGGTGCCTTGTCTTGTCTTTATAATGTAAATCAAAAATAAATGGTTTTCACTGCAAAGTCTGAGATCATAGTTTTAAGCTGTTATTATTAAGACTGTTTTATTATTGACAGGTACCGTGAGAAAGCAAAGAGGGATATTGCTGCTGTGGGTAACCATGCTGCTAAATTGTTACAGTCCCTAGGCAAGGTAACTACAAACATGGTTTTTCTAACAGGACATAAATATTTTTCTTCTGTACAGGTCTAAGCCAAAAGAGACAGATAAGAAAGAGCTTAATTATATAATTCCTTTAAAAGTACCCAAGTAACTTCTAATGTTTATTATCTGTGGTCTGTTTATCACTTTTGGTCTAGTCATGTAAAAAGAAAATACACGTCTGCATTATTCATTGATCAAAGAACTTATTTTACAAAAGTGAATAGTTATTTCACAATTAATGTATTAATGTCTCTGAAAACATGGCACGTTTGGCCATTGTATGTACTGTGAGTAGATATTCTCTGTTCCAGGCACCTGAATCAATTTCGGAGAGAGAATTGAAATTACTTTGTGAGTATGCTTGGATTCCATTACAGCGACTATGAAAATAATGAAATATTCAGAAATGTTTGGATGATCATGGAGTTATTAAATGTTACCTCAATATTTGAGTTTTTCAAGTGTTTCCTGAGCATTTGCATCCCTCATTTTCAGTGGAGGTAATATGTTAGCATGTTTCAGTAGTTAGTCTAGAAAGAGTGGCTTTAAAATAGATGCAGTACTTCTCAGGTCCAAATGTCAGGCAGCAGGCTACCTCTGCTTCCTGTGATTAAATACCTCATTGCTCATGTGCAATACAAACATTAGAGTGTGAGCTCTGTAAACTTCTTGTAGTCTGTAAAGATAAAAAAGGGATGTAGGGAGCAGGCGTAGTAGGGAAGAGTAGTGTTCATGGCAATTCAGGTTGTCTATTTTGAGTGTGCATATGTGTAATCACACAGCAACCTGAATCACCTTGCAACTGGAAAACTTTCCTGTAAGCATGCCACCAAGACCATGCTGCATTGATTGATCTTTTGCTACATTTTTTGAATTATGGGTAGTAACTGCACATTGGGTTGGTTTGCTGCAGTAATACTGGAGTAAAACCTTTTTACTGCTTACTCTCAATTTATATTCTGACAGTACAGCTACATGTTAAGTAGTAGAAAATAGAGGACCCATGTTTGTTTTCCTCATGGAAGAGGACAACATGAACCTGATGGCTGTGGTGGGTAAATTACTGTAAAGGAGATGCACACACTGTGGGCTGTTACATTAACACAGTTATGTTTAGAATCCAGAACCAAATAAGCAAAAAATAGGTCTTAAATGCTTGTGAATCATAAATGTAAATGTTGTCTAATACTTGGTAGTTTGAGGTACCAGAAGAAACAGAAGTGTCAATACAATGATTATTTTTATTGTTTGATTTTAACAAATCAGAGATATGGATTCATAGATTCAATAATTGATGACACATTCAATAAGTAATGCTCTTCCTTTTGCACCTTCTGCTTAGGCAGCAACTCAGCTTTTCTTCGTGTAGTAAGATGTAGATCTCTGTCTGAAGAATATGGCTTAAACACTTTTAACAAGGATGAAATTAGTAAGTATTCCTTTTTGACACATACTATAATTGCTTTTTCAATGTGAATGGTTTGGTGATCAAAGTGAATTGTATTACACATGCTATTTCTTTATGGAGTTTTATAATTTGCGATCCACTGGAATTGTTAACTCCAGAATATTGATTTAATTCTGATTTTTGAGAAGTTCAGAGATGACCTTACAAATCACTGTAGGTTTATTCTTTATTTCAAGTTTTATTTATAATAATAGCACATAAATAAAACACTTTCTTTAAAATTCTCTTTTCTGTATGTCAGTTATTTCTGACTGAGCTGGAATGGTGCTTTTGCCTGACCAAAGATTTAGTGATAATTATCTCAGCCTTTCACAGTTTAGGTTTTCAATATGTAAATATAAATGAAATAGAATTGTAGTTACTTTATAACAATTCATTATATATTTTTGGAACCTGCATAAATTTAAAAAAAAATCTGGAAATTTTTTCATCAAAATTTGTTTAGATGAAGGCCTTGCACATCTGCTGCAGCTTCTGGACATAAAGTTACACGTGTATAAACTAAATGTATACATAAGCTTTGCAGTATTCCCCATTCTGGTAAAAGTTCCTTGAATTAGTTGATAGTATCTAATGCAATTTAAGAAACAGTTATTGCTTAGATTACTAAACTGTATGTTAAAACCTGTGTTTTATAATTAGACATCATAATTTGTGAAACATGCATTGCAAAGCCTGAAACTACAGCTTATGAGTATCCTAATTAACACAGCAGCTGGCAGTTAAAACATGAACATCTTCATTGAACAGAGTTTATATCAAATATGTACAGTATGGTTTTGTCACATGAAATCATGTATCTGTCAGCTGACCCATTTATATTCCCAGTGGCAAGTTTTTGTAAGAATTCTGCTTACAACAGAAAATGTCAAGAAATACTTGATGTCAGGTAAAGTCCTGCTTTTCACCTTATAATACCAGCTAACCACTTCTCTTGCTGCTTTCAGTTTCTAACATGGATAACCCGGACAGTGAAGTAGTGTTGTACTTGATGCTACGGGCTGTTGATAGATTTTATAAGCAGCATGGTAGATATCCAGGTATGTTTATACAAGCTATGTCAGTGCAAGAAATATAAAAATCCAGTAGTTAATACAGTACTAGTTTAAAAACTCCATGTAAGACATTTGTTGTGTTTTCATATTAATGCAACTTTAATGACGCACAAATTGTATTATGTTTTTTTGGGGGAAATTTAAGGAATTTATCTAAATTGATACCACTGAAGTGGTTTATGAATTAATTCAGCTTCACAGCAATTTGTTATTATCATGAGGGGCACCAATAGAATGATTAAGTGCTAGTCTACTATTACTAATATTAGTTAGCTTCTTTTCTTTTTCTGGAAAATCTCTAGTTAAGCTGTGTTTTAACCCCAATAATTTTGAATATAGTATTATAATTCTATGACCAAATGGTGAATTTATTTTCCAGGTGTCTACAACTATCAGGTAGAAGATGATATTGGAAAACTGAAGTCATGTCTTACTGGTTTCTTACAAGAGCATGGTTTGTCTGTAGTGGTGAAAGATGACTATATTCATGAGTTGTAAGTATAATACCATAAGAGCCACCTTGTAAAACTGACCTGAAAATACTAACTGTTACTTTGCTGTCCAGTTGTCGCTACGGAGCTGCTGAGCCACATGCTATTGCTGCCTTCATGGGAGGTAAGAACGCTGTTGTTTTGAAGGCCCGTAAATAACAAAGCAAACTGCAGTTGTACCTCCTTTCCTTCAGAATCTATTTAAGCCATGGGCTTGTCAGAGCTAATCCTGTTATCATGGACTGTAGTCAAAGTCCTTTGTTCTTCAGTTGTGACTCCTGCTGGCAATGATTTAGAGTAAAAGAAACCAAGTAAACTAAAAACAATCCAGGTGGATTGATTATAGTATATTAAGAAGGATTCTTTTAATTGACTGAAAAAGGCTTTTTTTAAGGGATTACTTAAAATAATTTTGAAGTCTGATATTCATAGTAATACCAAATGAATTACACAATTTTAAAGGAAAATGTGTGCAGTGTTAGTTCTGTGTTAAGTGCTGGTTAGATACAAATAGCTGTTACCATTCACCTTAATACCTGCAGATTGAATTATCTAAAAAAAATGTTTTAAGTTAACTCATACATCACTTCTGGGTGATCTTCTGATTTGATGTGATGCAGTGCCAGCAGTGGTTTCTTTAAATGCAGTGTAGATTCAGAACTTCTGATGAAGCAAAAGTGGGTATGTATGGTGCTTTAGGGATGTATGTAAAGATAGGTATTTTGTGAAGAAATCACAGAACTCATTCTTCCTATAGTGGAGCATAAAGTTGACAGTGAAGTGACACTTTATTTTTACACTGTAACTGTTGAATTGACATACTTGAGTGGAACTTTTAAAATAGAACTTTCCACAGTCAGTCCTTTGGCAATCACAAGTTGTGTGCAGCTGTGCATGCCTGTACGTGGCTGTGTAGATACGTGCCTAGAGAAACGTGTACAGCAGTGCACATCCAGCCAGAGCTGGGGCTGTCAGAGCTCTCAGAGCTGGGGTCAGTCTGCAGGATGGAAGTCTCGTCTTTGTGGGGCTTCAAGTGCCCTTGTAACTACATGACTGTTTGTTATTTTTTTTATAGGAGCTGCTGCTCAGGAGATCATCAAGGTCATCACGGGGCAGTTTGTGATTTTTAACAACACCTATATTTACAGCGGGATGTCACAGACGTCAGCCACTTTCCAGCTGTAGGATGACCATATCCGTGCGTTGCCGCCGAGCGGTGTTGCAGCGCTCCGTACACAGCGCTAGTGCGCCACGGGCCGGGCCGTCGGGCAGAACCCGCACACTGAACGCCTTGGTTGTCATGTTTTGTTGTTTTTTTTTCCTGAGGACGAATAAAATGATCCCAAGTCTTGACTGGAGCCGCAATGCGGGCCGGGCGCCGGCTGTGGCGGGCGGGCGGGGCGGGAACGGCGCGGGGCGGGAACGGGCGGCTCTCCTCAGGCGGGAGGCGGGGCGGGGAGCGGGCGGGGCCGCCGCCGTGGCGACGGATGGCTGGGCTGAGGCGTCGGTAGCTGTGAATGGAAAGCGGGGCTGGCTGCTTTCGTCGGGTTGGCACTGATATTTCTCAGAGCCGTTGCTCTACTTCGGGAAGGATAGCTAATCTGTTGTTACGCTGGTTTTATTGCTGCTAAAAAGTTTCCACCTGCAGCTAGGCCATCGCTGAGAGCTTGGAGTCGGTGACTGCGATGCTCGCATCAGCCTCTCTTCGCGTGTGGGACTCGGAGCTTGGTTAAGGAAAATGGCGTGGTCCACCTGCATGCGTTTGGGCTCCTGGGCGGCCGATAGCTGGGGCTGCCCTTCGGTTCATCCCAGCACGACGGGCGCAGACTGGAATAAGCAGCAAGAGCTGCCAACGAGCCTTGGCTGCTGTTCTGTTTCTTGGCCCGGGCGTCGCACTGACTGCTGTGCCCAGATCAGAAACGGAGCGCGCCAGGCTGATGTAGAACCAGTGCTGTGGATGTTTTCATTTCACATATTTTGTGTGTGACTTTAGTGAGCTAAGATAAAGTCTTAGTGTAAGAAGTACTCAGTGCCAGGGCTCCTGCTCGTTACTGCCTTTGTTTTTGATACTAATAAAGAAGTGCAGTTTTGGTTCGGTGGTGGTAGGAAAGAGATGGATGTATTTGTGCTGGATGTCAGATGTGATTATGTAACATTATCTGGTGATCTCACTGCCTTTTGGCTGATGACAAAATTGGCAGCCTGCTGTAAGGAAAATCTGAGGAGATTTATTGCATTAAATGGCAGCCGTGGATATATTTGTTTTAATTGTAGGTGGGTTCTTTGAGCAATTCCACACTGCCATTGTAGGTCACTAGGTTGCTGCAAAACACTGACTTTGAAAGCCATTGGCATAACAGTAGCTATAAATACTGTCCATATTAGAGCATTTCTAAAGGAAGGCTCTGCCATGAAGGCAGTATTAAACTGTGTCAGATGATAGCATAAAATTTGAAAGTTGTTAAATTTTGTATTTTTGAATAACAATAAAAAAAGTTATATGATCTCAGCAAAAAGAAAATGCCTTTTCCTTGCAATTGCAGAACAAGAGCAGGGATGCAACCAAAAATTGAAAATCAAAAGGTGCAAAAAACACAGTGTGGTAAGATACCCCAAACTGTTTTCCTTTATTATCTAAATCTGTTTTACAAGGCCTTAGTAGATTGTGACAAGACTTTCCAAGGAGGGTGAACTGTTAGAGGGAGATGTTTTTTCCTTATCAGATTTTTAAGATTCTTACCTTGTTCAAACAATAATGTTACCACAAAGTCACTTTCCTGCTAATAAGTAGCCACATTTTTCTAGTATTTTAATTTTTTAAAGAAACCCACAACTGTGCAAGTGCTTCAGATATACAGTATCTGCTGCTGCCAAGTTAGTAAATAGTCATTAAACAAGTCATTACGTTACAACAAAAGTCTTAAGAAACAAGTTATCATAGTCATTTATCTCCTTGGGGTTGTATGTTATTGCCCCTTTTCCCAAATGCTTTGTATTAACCTGCTAATGTAAGCACCTGAGTCAAGGTGCTACCTCTTGTGCAAGTGATTCAGTCGTCTTCAAATAAACACCAGGTAGCAAGCCTTGGCATTTAGCTTAATCCTCCTGGATTCTCTTGCTAATGCACTCAGGTCTTCATGACTGCTACTTTTATCGAAGCAGTGCTCAAACAACTAACTATGGATCATGCTCAAATCACTGTAGATAGGGATATCCATAGTGGGACGTAGGTTATGCTTGCTATGTATAGATGTATAAAAGTGTATAGTGTATAAAGTGTTTTTCTTGTGCTTTTTTTGTTAGATTACATATTCATGCTATGTTCTGGAGAAGTTTTACTTTAATACTAAATGAATTTATATGAAGAAAAGATAACGCTTCATGTGAAACTTCCTTTTTTATGTTTAGATATGAAAACAGATTTGAACTTACTGCTTGAATGCCTTAAATACCAGATGGACTGCCCTTCATCCCAGAAAGAGGCTTTGATTGCTATTTATTCAATTTGTCAACAAAACAGTAAGAACCATTTTTTCCTTGGAAACAACACAATCATTTCCATTTGCAATGTATGTTAAGAAATTGGTTGTTACTGTGGGCAGAAAAAAGCATTAGCCAAAGGATGTAAGACTTTAGGAACTGTAACATCTTAATATTTTCTTTTTTCACAGTATCAAAAGTAAAATTTTAATTTTTGTTGTTTTTTTCCTGTTGTAGGTGAAGCATGTGAATATTTACGAGAAATTGGTGGTTTGGGGTTTATAAATGATCTTGCAAAGTCAAGTGTTCATGGCATGGTGAAGGAAGCAGCTTTATTTACACTAGGAATCATAATAGAGAGTAATGGTAATAAACACTGCTTTGTGTATTTCTAAGTTGGCCATGATAATGTTATATTGTTCTTTGTCTCTTATCTTTTTGCATCAAAAATCACGTTACATAATAATTAGTTAATGTGGAAGGCAGCAAATGTGTTGCTATTTCACTGACCACCCCAAGATTTGAAGAAATAAGGTTAGGGTTAATATGTCTGTCTCTCTGGGATTTATGTAGCCAGCTTGTCTGTATGACAACAGGTAGCTCTGCTTCCTCGTTAACAAGTGTAATGACATGCAGACTGTTCCAAAGTTTGCCTGGGACTGAGATAATTTGGAACTGATGGCAGGAGGAAGCCCTGAGTCCCTTTGTAGGTCTGTTTTGACTCCACTCACCATGTATTGGATACCACTGAGCATCTATTTACTGTATTAACAAACTAATTAATGACTGTAAATAGTTTGCTTTAGGAGTTAATGGTTTTTATTTTCTGGTTTCAGTTTACTGCCAACAAACTTTGTGTACTTCTGCATTATTTGAAGACCTCATTTTATTTTTAATGAATAAGGATTCTGGCATGAACTTGAAAAGAATGTCTGTTTATGTTATCTTAGCACTGGTTTCAAATAATAGTAAGTATTTTTTCCATTATAACACACATTTTACTCACATTCCCTTTTTATGTTTTCTAATTTGTGTGATGGAAATTTGGAACACTTTGTAAGTAATGTTTTTTATAAAATTGACTTATCAGGTTGCATGTAAATCAAATGTAAGAATATAGAATCATTTAGCTTGGGAGAGGTCATCAATGTAAGTAAAATAAATCTAAGTAAATTGTTGCTTACTGGGGTTTCCTTAAATAGGAAAAAATATTGTAGTTCTAACAAATTGATTATAGTTTGTAAAACAAACAAAAAAACCTCAAACCAGTCGTTTCTGACAATGTGTAGAAAAAGTTAAGCATAGAATAGAAATGTATTTGCCAAAGTTTGTGTGATCCTCTGTTGAGGGGAGGGTTATATATGCTTAGGGAATGGAAAATTTAAACACAAGTTAGACTTGGCACTAAGATTTTGTTGCACTCTGCTATGTGATCACTTTCAGAACTTGGCCAAACCTACGTCAGAGAAACAGGCTGCATTAATCTGCTGCTGCAGTTATTCAGGTAAACAAACGGCTGCTGTTAAAGCAGAAAAAGTAATAGAGTATTTAGGACTTGCTTTGTTTTCTTAAACAGAACAACTCTTTCCACACCTGAGCTGAATCTGTCAGATGAAAATATAAATAGCTGCTACCAGCTGTGGTCTTCGGTCTGTAGTACTCTCTGTGCCTGTGTTAACAATCCTCAGAATGGTAAGTGCTGCTGTTTAAAAACTGTGGTAAATTGTAAGTTTTGTTCTCATTTTTACTCTCAGCTGAAATTTCACATTATGCTTGGATTTGAGGTTATTTGTTTTTACTTTCCCAGAAGCTAATCAAAAGATTTGCTGTTCAGTCTTTCCACATGCAAAAGAGTGGCTAGAAAGTTGCATGGAGCCTGAGATAGTTCGTCCTATTTGTTCATTTGTTGGCCTCACGGTTGCAAATAACTGTAAGATAAAACTTTAAACAGTTTTTATTTTGTGCGCTTCATTCAATACTTAAATGTTTAATTCTCTATTTTTGTCAATCTCTGCAAGTTCATTTGCTGCTCTTACAACTATTACACTGGAAACTAGATTCTGTTGTTTTTTCTTACACTGCACTGGGTGCCTAAGAATACAAACGGCCTCATTGGTTACGATTTAGAGAGGTCAGTAAAAACAATTTGTGAAACTTATTTTATAAATATGAGTGATTACTGCATCTTGAAAAGAATGTAGGTGGAACTTGGGCATAATGTTTACCATTTGTATGTACATGTTTCATGTTAGGGCGATTTTTGCATTTCTCAGGACGAACATAAATCCAACTTCAGTTCTTTTATGCGGGTATAAATGATTAAAAAGTGCATGGAAAAATAGGGATGGTCTAAGAATAAGAAAATTCTAAGCATTTAAGAAAATGCTAAAACAATTTGATACAATTTGAGATTTGTAGTATTTAAGACTTTTTTTCTTTTCTTACTAAGCCCCTGTGCAGAAATATTTTGTTTCTGTTGGAGGATTGGACACCTTAGCTCAAGTCCTCATCAAGCTGATGCATGATGATTCCTGTCTGAGTCACTCTAGCACAAAACTTGCAATAGTAGTAACAAAGACTCTGGACGCCTGCATTGCTAATGACTGTGAGTGAAAAGACTGCCACTTTCATACCTGATAATTCTAAAATTGTCTAGTTTGGTGAGAATGTGGTATGAATGGATATGAAAGGCAATTAAGTCAAGTATATCCAAATCCAGTTTGTATTGCAGAACCTATCAAATTCAAGTTCCTAGTGGGAATGGTTCTGTTAATCTGAGGTGGGATAGTGAAATAAACACTGGAAAACTTATACTGAGAACAAAATTAAATTGCTGGTGCTAGTTTTCTGTAAGTTGAACTGAAAACTGGAAATATGGTAACCTTGGATCCTGGAGTTAGAGCTGTGCTTCTGCAGGCCTGTGTCTGTACTAACAAGCTGTGCAAGCTCAAACATGGAGCTACGTAAATGAGAAATGTGAATATAGTTCCTGTCGTGTCTGCAAAGCATTGTTACTTTATTGTCTGGATGGTGATAGCTCAATGAGGTCTTTGTGTATTCCATCTGAGTTGTGTTGGCCATGATTAGTGTATTTCATGCTTCTATCTCAAGTGCTTGCTAACTCAAGTTTCAGAGACCTTGAGAGAATATACCTGCACCTGGTTTTGAGCCTAGACTGGTATGTGACTGGATTAGGTTTCAGCATGCATATGCTAGCAGTGCTGTTTCAGCAAGGTTTTCCCTCTTTACCAGAAACACTCCTAGCTCCTTTTGTAGCAGTTCGGTTTTGGAACCAGTGAAGGATGTGGAAAAACTCAGCAGAGGTGTACAAAACTTGCACATTGCAAATGATTTGTCAGATCTACCACATCTCTACAGAGTGCAATTCAGAGAAAAGAGCAGCGCTGGTTATGAGGGATAGCACACGTGGAATTACTGCACCAGTAGAGATGTGATAATTTAAACTATTGAAATGAAAGTGAGACAGAAGTGGGACTGCTCAGTTCCAAGGCTCTTGGAGGTCTGCTGACAGTTCCTTTAAACACCATATTTGAATGCTGCCTGTTTATTTATTATCTGATAGATTTGTCTCTTGAATTATTTTCAACATGATAGCTGCCATGACTGTTGTTTTGGTGAAGTATCACACTGTGTCAGAACTGCTGAACCTACTGTCTAATGACACTCTGGATACGGGGGAAAAAATGAGCATTATTCTAACAATTGGACACTGTACTGAAGTCTGTGGTAAGATTTTTTTAACATATTTTTACTGAATTCTCATACACTAGCTACTTTAATGGTATCATTTCATCAAATTTGGTAACCTGAGGGGATATTCTATTAAATAATGTAATTTAATATTCAGAAAAGTTTATTTCCATCTCTAAACCTTAAGACCTGTTAACACATAGTATCTTCAAGGGTTTAAGAAAAGTAAGCTATTACACAAGAATTCAGAACTGGCTTTAGGGATCACAGGGTAAAACTCATCTGAAAAATTCTACAATTCATTCATTCAGACCAGAGGTCAAGAAATACAAAGCATAATTCAAATATTTTAGACTATAGATAAATGGGTACAAATGTCTGCTGTGTGATTTGGCTTAGTCCTCCTTCATGTTTCTTACAGCAGTTTTGAACTGTGGTCAAATCATCCTGTGTGATCTAGAGTGCTTCTGTTGCAGCCTGGTAATAGGGTCATTGCAGCACGCTTGTATTCTTATTAAGAATTTTTACAATTTTTTCTTTTAGAATTTCCCTGGAGGTTATTGGTTTTAGTTTCTAAAACTACTTGTTAGATTAAGCATGTGTGAGGTTGGAACTAACTGATTTTCATTATAACTTCCTATTTTAGAAGAAAACCAGTGTGAACTGCTCGAGAACAATGGTCTTCCACTTATGATTCAGGTACTAACTGAGTCTCAAGATGAGGAACTACACAAGGCTGCTACTTTTGTGCTGCAGAACTGCAAGCAAATGAGTAAGCTTACTGTTAGTGCTTGAGAAAATTAGAGATGATTGCAGTATTTAAGTTCTCTCAGCTTTCTAGATCATTTTAAGTGTAAAAGCTTTGTGATTCTTTGTACTTAAAGATACTTATTTTCTGCATGAAAGTTGTATATTGCCACCATAGAATGATAATGGTACTTAGGCAGAAAAAGTAAAAATTTCAACAGTGTTGCAATAATGCATTTGTGTAACCCATATATGTAGGTCCTGTCCATAACATTTTCCATCTCTACCTGATGTGCATAATATTATGATTTCACACAGAATAGAATACTAATTTGGTGTATTTAGGGACTAAACCAGTGGATGATCAGGCCTGTAATCAAAGCTACAATTGTCATATTTTAAAATGTTATTAATTTTTAAAGCAGGTTATATTTTTGGTCATCCTGATAATTTTTTTAATTAACTGTGTAATACTGCCAATGAAATAGAGACGTACCTGTTCCTTAATTCACTGAGTAGTGAAGGTATTATGCAGTACTAGTTAATTAAAAAAGCATGTATTTTGCACTAAAAGCATATCTGAGAGTTTGGTTTAAATGTAAAACTGAGGGGATATGGTGCTTTCCACTGTCTGTCACTATGGAGTATTTTTTCTTCCTTTAAGCCGTGTGAGAAAAGGAACCGTTGAGTTAGGAATAAATCCATGATAAAGTGATTCCTTAGAGACAGCATCATTGCTACAGCTTAACTGCAAGTTCAGTGACTGCCCAACTGAAACACTGCACTTGCCTCTTGTAACTGCTGTTTGTCTTTGAAGTGTATTAATGTGTGTGTATAAATGTAGATTAACAGCAGGATCTGTTTTGCATTGGAAATTACTGAGGGACCTGACCCTCAGAATACTAAAATATAATAAAAACTATAGGTATTCAGTGGTAAAATTTAGAATGTTACTTCTATTTTTGTTTTATACAGCTGAACAATTGTCCTTGAAAATAAATGAGAAGTCCCTAAGTGTGAAAAATGCAGAAGAGCTGGAGGTGGACACGCAAATCAGAGAAAGAAGTCAACGAAACTACTGGAAGAAAGCAAAAGACATTCTGCACAGAATAAACTTGATTGAAAAAGAACATGATGAGATTAGCATGTTCATGAAGGTAGGGTAGAACTACACAGATTTTGAGTCTAAGGAGCTATAGGAAATAAGCCATTAAGATAATTTCATTGTGAGCTAGGAAATGAAAGAAAACATTGAATGTATGAGAAACTACGACCTTCAGCTTTTGCTGTTATTGCACATAATGCATGCTTAAAAATACAAACTTGTAAGTGCAGTACAATCAGGAAATGCAAGTATTTGTATTCTTATGAGCTATTTTAGTTGATTGTAAAATCAGATTTTCTATAAAGTTGAGATCATTTAGGTTGGAAAAGCAACAGCTTGATTTTCTTTAATTGCTGATCATTTTTATTTGTAATCTTAATATTTGCATGCTTGAAATGCCCATGATTGTACTGCTGTGACAGGATTGCTAATGGCCAAATGTGAACACAGAATATGGTATTGTTATTCCATATTTTCTTTGTGCTATGTAACTAGATGGTATCTCTGATTGTGGAGTAGCGATTTTTGCATTACTTAACTGGATGTTGGGGTAATCTTAAACTTTTCAAGTGATGTGTATTAGTAGCAAATACATTATTTCAGCCTGGAACTATGGCTTAATAACTGCCCTTCAACTCTTTTGGCAGCTGTACTGTTTTGTTGGCTCTCAATCAGTCGGGAGTTAAACTGGTCTATTCTAGTTAATCTTGCTAATAGGTTTATTTAGCATTTTTAATAGAGCTTGTTTAGTCATTAAAAAATGCTTTTTAATAAAGGAAGGAGCAGAAGGAAGACTGTTTGACAGGAGTTCAGAAGCCAGTATTGAAGCATCAAAATCCCATGAAGTGAATCCCAGTGATACAAAAGCACGTGTAGAAAGAACATGCAAAGAATTATGTGGTCCACAGTTAACTTATAAGTTGGATGATCAAGTTCTTGCTCTAGCTGTAAATTCTTCTGCGCTGACTGTGAATCCAGTAAATGCTTCTGCTAGAAAAAGTAAACAGAGTGATATTCCACATTCAGCTTATGAGATGCAGTCAGGCACTGCAACTCAAAGTCATAGTGTAAATGAAAAAGCAGCTTGTGAAAAAAGTCAGTCCCTTCTTCAGGTAAGGTAGGTATCTTGTATTGAAGCAAATTTAATAAGTTGCTCTTTATTATGATTGCCTAATTGAACGTCAGCCTTTTCAATTACTGTTAACTAGCTTTGTCTTTTGCTACAAGTGGAAAGCTGAAAATGTTTGTTGTCCAGCAGGAAAATATTCTATGCAAGTGTTTTTGACATCAGAAACCAAAGATTATAGAGTCTGTAGTACCATCATCTGTAAAGTCCTTTTTTCTCTTAATGATAGGATTGTGATGTGAGTATGGAGGGCCTGTGACAGACCACATTCTAATGCCTTAAGCGTGAAGAAGGTGAAGCATCCATAGATTGTGGCCTTCAAATTCTCACTGACTATATGAGAAATTGACCTGTTAGTGTGGATGAAACCAAAATACTTCTGTATTGCGCACTTACAAGGAGACCAGCAGTTATAGAACAGTTCTGCAAGAATTTGCATTTCAATGTCTATGAATTAGGAAGAAAACTTTTTCTTCTTATGCTTCTCTTCCTTCCTTGCTCTGCTAAGTGGGAAGAAAAAGATGTTTACAGTTGTTTTGCTGTTCTCTTGCTTTGCCCACTTGTCTCACAAAATGCTTGTTTTCCTGTTTTCCTTCTCATGGTCATCTTTCTTACTGATAAAGAAAAAATTAATTACAATCTGCATGCTTCTTGCTACGTAACTTGGGATAAATAGAATAGGTAATAGAATTTTTTTTAGAATTTTCTTTGATTTTTGTATTGTCTCTGGAATTGGTGTATTAATGTACAGTTAAATGTGTTTTAAAATTTGTTCACATTGTTAATCTTTCTAGGAAAGGCTTGCTTCAACAACCAGTGAAGACTATTAAACATATGAAATGGGCAAGCACATCAGGTACAAGTAGCTAAACGAACTCTTATTTTTAGATAATTTTGTTCTTAATAACTTTTAATGCTTTTATCACTACTTTTTATCAGGTATAAAATAGATGACAAAATATGTACATTCTGTAACTGTTTGAATTATTTTGGAATTTTATATTGTACACAATTTTACTAGGAAAATTTGTTCTGCTTATAATACATTTTTTTCCTTTTTTAACTACTCGAATGTCTTACAGATAAACACTTAAAGTCTGAATGCAATCTATACTGAAAAGTATAAGCCCTTAATAGAAAATGTGCAGGGGAACTGCTTTTGTACTGTGTTTGTAAGAGCAAGGATAGAACCTACCTGAGTGAGTGAGTGATTTCTGCCTGAAGCTATCTGTGTTGAATGCTTGTAGATGGTTGTAGGATGAGGTTTTTCAGATTTGCATTGATCTTCTTTCTCTGGGGTATTTATTTCAGAATTAGGATCCTGTCAGTCAAATCTTTACTCGTAAAGTAGTTCACTATTAATTTATAAAACCATTCCTTAGTTTACTGTTTGTCAGAATGGTAGCTTTACAAGGTTCCAAGCTGATCTCCACATACAATTATTTAGATAGAAAATAAGTATTATTCCAGTACATCACATTTTGAGCATCTGATTTTAAATATTGATATTGTTCATATGACTTCATTAAGCAGTGTAAGTTTACAAGGCTATTTTGGTCTGTTCAAGTTCAAACAGCATGCTTCATTAGGAAAGTGAATTAAAGTAAGCATTGAATTAAATGAAATTGTTCTGGATGTACAACAATGTCAATATGATCCTTTTAACTTCAGCAATTTCTGTTCAAGTTTTCTGCTGTTATGCCAATTAAACTTTCTTGGTAATCTACTAATAGAAAATACAACTGAATGTTGGTATGCTCACGTGTGATTTCCACAGAAAAAGATAGCTTGCATTTTCTTCCTAATGTTTTTTTCTTCCTACTTCAGACCAACATTCATTCTACTCAGACATAACCAAGGAAGAAAAAAGTAATTTGATTATAAATGCATCCCTTAAAATGACAGACTTCATGTGTTTAGGTAAGTATCTCAGGTCTTTCTTTGCTAAGTTCAGAAAAGAAGAATTAAAGAACCAGCAATTCAGCAAGTAAACTTGGCATTATAGAAATTACTTATTCTGTAATTTTTAACTGCTTCCTTTCCTTTTTCTGCATTTAAAATAAAACAAATGTTGACATAGAGCTAACCTATTCCAATTTTGTTTAATGTGTCTTTTGTCTTTCCTCAGGCTTAAAAGAACATATTGTAGCTACAAGAATACTTAGGAGCAGCTGTTTTCTTCTTTTCCTCTTGGAAAGAAGCAGGGAAAAAATGGAGCCCTGTTCAATTTGCTTTTGTATTCATCTAGCTAAGCCTCTAACTATTATGCAGTTCTTTTTTTCCTGCCTTACTGGTGTTGAGTACAGACAATTTTGAGATGTGTAATGAAAACTTGGAGGTTAATTGTAGATCATATCAGCAAAATTCTGGTTTTTACAATGACTACCATCCCTATTTTTTTCCAGGTTGTACAACAACAGGACTGTCTTACAATAGCAGAACTTTTAGTAGGATGTTGCAGACTTGTCCATACCTGTGTGGCCGTCACAGAGTCATTCTGGAAGCTGAAGAGAGATATAAAAAGAAACTTCAGAAATCATCTGGCTCTAACAAAGGACATGCAGCTTATGAGAGTAATTATTTTGTTGATTTGTTTTTTACTAACTCTCCTAATCCTTTTAAACTACATTTTGAGTTCTGGACTTGTTTGGCTTGATTCTGATCATCCTACTCTTGTAAGCTCACTTGTTTTATATGATTTACCACTAATTTGTGCTAAATGAGGTTGGAGCTAGTCACTTGTGTTTTGAATTGGTGTACTTGAATCTTGTACTTGAAGCCATGGTGAATCTTCATTGCAAGCAATGCTGTCTTGTTTGCCAGAGTTTGTCAAATATTAATAGAAGAGAGTATATGAAGCTGAAATAAAAGTGAATGGATGAACCTTGTAAGAAGCTTGTTTCATTCCAGTATAAACTGCCAAAGGATGTAAGAGGCCTATAATTATTAATCATAATTATAATTAAAAATGCATCTGATTTTATGGTTTGAAAGAGGCATTTAAAAAAAAAAAACACAAAAGTTTTTTGGCATTTTTAATGGTGTTCATTTGATTCATTTCTAGAAATAGTGCTGACTCCAGTGAAGAAAGGAAAACTGCTAGTAGAGACATCTTTAAAGAGCAAACAGGATAATTTCCAAAGTAAGGCCTTAACTTGGAAGTTAGTGCAAAAACCACTTATTGTCTGAATAATTCTCTTCCAGGGCTTCACCACAAGAGCTTGTGGATAGGAGTTATAATCAAGTTCTGTGGATTCTGTCAAAAATCTGTCAGACAATGTGCATTCTATAATTGTGAAACTATTACACTACTTCACAATTAAGTTTTCTGATACATTGCTGAATCCTGGTAGGATTACTTTTGTGCCACCTGCTGTTTTTTGTTTTGTTTTGGTGTTTAAGATGTAGAAAAGGCAGTAGATCAGAGCACAGTGCATCTGTCTGTTCTTGGATTCAACATAATTCTGTTATACCATTATAGCAGTGTTATCATATAATACCTGCTTTTGTTCCTGCTTGGTTTTTTGACAGGCACTTGAGTTTCTATGTGCTAAATAGCTAGATGTGTAAGACTTCAATTATACAACAATACCGGAACAAGTATCAAAAAAGTATCAGAAAATTATCAGAAAATTAAGTAAATAAGGTATTTTTTACCTGTCCTGCATTACGAGGGGTGGGGGTAAGATAGAAAAGTGAGGGTAAGTTCCATGAGTTGCCCCTTTAAAAAAAACCAAAACAACAAAAACTGGTTATCTTGATAATGCATAACAACTGTTCATTTGTAAATAGTGGAGTATGTGTCCTTTAAAATTTTCTATAGCATAGTGAAAAGTAAGTTTTGTTAACTCTCTTCATTACTCTGCAGATGCATATATTATACATAACTTACAAGGAATTTTCTTTAGAATCAGGTGATTCTGGGTACATCCTGCAGAGATTTGACTACAATCATGAAATATGTTCATAGAGGACTAACCAGTACTGTCTCTTAGGATCAATGACTGGAAGTTCTAACATAAGCTAAAGCAGCTCTCTAAATCAGTACTTAAATTTTTGAACATGTTACTTTAAAAGAAACCAAACATTCCCATTTTGAAAAAATCAGCCCACCCATCAGGAATTTATTTTTAGTGATCTCTTTCCAAAACTTCTGTTTACTTCATTATTTAATTTCTGGTAATGGCTAGTGGATGACTTATTTTTTTAAAATCAGATTCAAAAGCAACTAATTCTAGCAATTAAACATTTTCTGAAGTTAACTGGGTTTTTCAGTCTTTCCTCAAAAACCAGATGGTAGTATGGTTCAGAAGATACCGTAAGTTTTAGTTCCTGAAATGTTACCTGTGTTCTGCTGCTTTGTTTTTTTGAAAGTAAAATACATCATGTTTTGTTGTTTTTAAGGTATTCTTTTGACTCCAATTAGAAAAGGTAAACCCAATGCTTTGAAAAGATATGAACATAATAAAAATACCCAGTTAACTGAAGAATATAACTTGCAACCAACATATGAAAAATGTGAGTATCACCAGAAAATTAGTTCCGTAACAAGCATAACTGAAAGACCAGGTTTTACCTTTTAGTTCAGGGCATTGAAAAAAGTGTCCGTGCTTGCTGCTGGAGACGAATAGCTGAGGATTTTAATAGACATTCTCGTAGCTTCGATCATAAGATTACTTAAGTTTATTTTCAGTTAAATCCTATTGTCTGCTAGTTGCTTCCAGTACCTAACTAATTCAGACATGTTAATGCCAATATTGAGAAAAAGATCTAATGAGAAATAGATATTAGTAATAAGGCAGCATGTGCATATTCATGTTCATTAGAAGAAATGTTCCTTCCCAGCACTAGAGTCAGTCTTACAGTAGAGTTGAGTTCAGTTCAAAGTAACTGAGGTTTGGTCTTGTTCACAGTTTCATAGCTTTCCAAAAAAGACAAGATGCAAACTTGAAGAGAAAGTGTGAAAGAAATGTGCAGGCAGAAATGCCAAAAAAGAAAAATTGTTAACAGGTTAAAAGAAAATGGTTTACATTCACTTGATGAAGATGAGGTTACCTGCGTGCAGCCTTAGACACTTGTCTTTATATTTGTAAAATCACTGAAAACTGTGTAATTCCATTTGAAGTCACGTTTAACAGAAGCCCAGTACTTAAGTGAACCATATTAAATACAGATCTTACCCTGCTGATTCTACTGCAGTTATAGTGGCGTATCCCTGAAACAAGTTAACTGTTTTTTTTTATTGTTAGTTACTTTCAAATAATGGAAATGAAAGTATACTTATGTCCTGAGCTTGTGAAAGTTGGCACAGTATAGAAATGGTACATACCTAAAAGAAATAGCTGTACTGACTGGAAAACAAATACTGAGAGTAAGTTATGTAAGCACAACAAAAATACAATATTTTTTCTGTTGACGTTTACCTTTATTTCAGTAAATGGGTGACAATGAAGAAACAGCTGAACGTAACATGTTTGAAAAATGTCATTGTATTGACTGTTTGTTTGCTGGCAACACAATCTCAAATAGTTCTGAACAATAATGCATTACTTCTGTATGTGAAATCTATGTAAGTTGACATAATTTTTAATTACACCAAGATAAATACAGAACAGTGAGAAATGTTACCTGGATATAAACACAAGAGCTTTAAACAAGAGAAGAACCTGAAAAAATTTCACGGATGAAGAAATTAATGATCTTTTAAAGAGAATAAAATACATGGGTAATCACTGGAATTTAATTTTTTGTGGTGCTATCCATTTCAGAAAGGATTGACAAATGTTAATCTTTCTGAGAAAAACAACAGGTTACAGGTAAATGTCAAACTTTCTGCAAATCAGATGTACTTACGTGTCATTTTTTTTTGAGCTTTTGTCCCTGATTTGCCTTGCAAAGAAACGTGGGATGAAGACTTGGCAACCTATGGGCTGATCTTTGTGTCATTTCAATGCTGTGCACGCTGAGTTATGAATGGCCTCTGATATAATCTAATCAGTTTTCTCACTAATAGAGAACTGAACTGGGAAGCACTAGAGTGGCACCTGATAGGGTACAAAGTTTCAGCTGAGGGCTGAATTAATACCCATGTTTGCTAGGAAGAGGGTATGTTCTTGGTTCAGTCAGTTGGTGAAGGTCTGTGAGATGTTCTGTTGCAGCTTTTGCTTTGTTTTGTGTGTGCTCCTTACACAGAGGTGTGGTCTATGGATGGAGTAGGTAATATTTCTGCTGTACTCTCGGTAAATGTGTGTGTGGGGGTTAGTGATTGACAGCCATTTATACTCAAGTCTTTTCTAAAATTGTACTGTGTTTTGTGACAATGGTTGTCTTGATATTTTTATCTCCCATCTTGCAGAAACAAGAAAAGCAAGGACCATCATCAGAGTCTTTCAAGAGAATTTTGGATTTTTATGCATGAAGTTGAAGAACAGCATTATTAACAGTGAGGTACAGTCACAACAATTCCAACTTCTAGAGAATTTAGATGAGTTTGGACTTGTGTTTTGTACTGATAACCTTCATAACAAATTGTTATGCTTTGCAGATTCAGTTAAATTGTAAGTTTTTATAAATAATGCCAATAAAGCCTTTACCAGTAAAAGTTACTTTTAGTTTTCAGGAATGTAAACTTCTTTGAAAAGTTTTGATTGTGACAATTAATTGGGCTTTGAGCATTTCTAGTTTGCTTCATCCTATTTGCAAGAAAAGGCTTATTGCCAGAAGCTGGTAAGAAGCAATGTTCTGACTTCCTTCCTCTTCATCAGTGAAATTAGCAGCTGAAAGACTTTGTCATGGGTTTTGGTGTGTGTGGGGAAAAATAGGATACACTATTAAACATGTAGGAGAGATGCAGTCAGGTCAGCAATTCAAATTAATGTTAGCAGAAATGCTTGGGTGACTGCAGAGGTGATAAAAACCTTTCTAACGATATCAAGACATGATGCTAGTAAGTACTGAATTGGAGAATGCAATTTGTTGGAAATACTCAGAAATCTACGTACTAGTGGAATTTCTGGTCACAAAATTGGGTACTTCCAGAGAGGACAGTGGTAGAACAATCTTTTATATTCTTATATCCTGTCTCACACAAAATTATTTGCAAACATCTATGACAGAAAATACCAAATGTATGTTTGAAAACTGCTGAGTACAGTGGATGAATCTTGAATGGGTACAAGTAAATGGTAATACAGAGCTTGTGCAAATGGCAGAACTTACAGATGGAACACTTAGTATGTGGTTCATCTGCAGTATTTCTTGACTAGTATGAATGACTTGGATGAGAGTTGTGGACCTACATGAAATACTGCAGCTGTGAACGACACACAGTGTCTACTGGAAAATCTGATTTCATTTTATGGTGGAATTTCTTTGCTTCTTGTTCATGTTAGTGAGCAGAACCACTGTTTCTGTTAAGTTCATAATATTTGCTTAATCTTTAGGGGAAGCATTAGTGCCTCATTTTTCTTTTTTTACCATCATAGCCTTATCTGAATTCTGATTGTTAGTTTAGAACGGCAAAGATTTAGTTACTTTGCTGTAGGCTTCCACAATGATGTAGCTTAAGTGCTTAAAAACAAGCAAGAATAATCTGAAGTGGAAGCATCAGATGACGCTAATACAGTAAATAGGTCTTTTAATGCTTTTCGTCTTTGGCACTTCCCTTTTCTTGCTCAAATACTCAAGCAACTGTAAAAATGCCTGGAGTCTGTCTCATCCATCCTCTTTACTCGCGGTGTGTGAGAAGGGGGCTGTGAACGTTCCCTTAGGTCGCAGTGAGTCCCGTTCTAGAACGCACCACTTCCTCCCCGCTCTCTCCGTGCCGCACAGCGGGTTCGCCCTCCTGCAGCGCGGGCGGAGCGGAGCCGCGCCGTGCCCGCCGCCAGCAGGGGGCGCTGCCGTGCCGGCACCGCCCAGAGCGGGGGGCGCTGCCGGGGCTGCCCGGGCGCCGCCTGATCGGAACGCGGCGCGGCTGCGAGCGGCTGACGGCCGCCAGGGGCGGGGCGCGGCGGGGCGGCGGCGAACGGCGGCGGGGCCGGGAGAGCGGCGGGCCGGCCGTGCGGGCGGGCCGGGGCGAGGGAGGAGCGGGGTCCTCGGCGGGCCCGGGTGAGGTCACTCTTTGTGGCGGCGGTTGGCAAGATGGCGCCGGTGCTGGTGGAGAAGAAGCTGCTGGGGCCGGACGGGCCCGGCGGCGCCGATCTCCCCAGCGAGGAGGAGGAAGGGCAGAACCTGTGGTGAGCCGCCGGGCCGGGGGGACGCGCCTTCCGCGCCGGGACGGCGGGCCGGGCCGCGCCGCGCTGCCGGGCGTCCCGCGTCTGTCACGGCGGAGCAGCCTGCCTTGTGGGGCCGCCTCCGCTCACCTGCGGCCGGGGGCAGCCGCGGGCCTCGCCGGGCCCGGCTCGAGCGAGCACCCCGCTCCGACGGGCAGAGCCGCGAGGCGGCCGCGCTCGGGCCCCGCTGGCGGGAGCGGGCGGCGGGCGGGGCGCGGGCGGTGCGGCACGGAGTGCAGCGGGGAGCCCCGCCGCAGGGCTGAGGCCGCGTCGCCGGGACGGCGGCGTGCGGGGCCGGAGGGCTCTTACCGCGCGGGGACCGAGGGATGGGGTCTGGGGGGCCGCGGCGCTCCTTCTTAGGCGCTTATCTCTTGAAAACAGCGGTAACGGAGGAAAAATGTGTGAGCGAAATACGGTAATGGATTGTGGGAAGAGTTAGTCATCAATTGGAAAGTAATGCATTGCAGTGACGTGACTGCTGCTGAGGGAGAAAAACTTCACCGCGTGTGCTCTAGGGATTGTAAATCTCTCCCTGCAAAGGTGGCTTCTTTCTGGAGACGTTATAAAGAGAAATGAACTGAAATTCTTACCTGGTTTGTGAACAGGGTGAGTGTACCCCAGCCCGTGTGGGGTGTGGAGCTCAGGGCGCTGTCAGGGAGCGCTGTGTGTGTGAGCTGTGTGTCCGAGCTGTGTGTCCCTGCTGTCAGCCTGACCGCGCCTTCTGCCTTTCCAGGTCATCGATACTGAGTGAGGTTTCCACCCGGTCAAGATCTAAACTGCCCTCTGGCAAAAATATCCTTGTTTTTGGTAAGTAGCAGATGCAGGAACGCGGTCCGTCTGCTTTCTGTAGAGGCAAAGCATGTTGAGAACAATGGTGTGAACACACTGACGCATCAGTTGGATAAAATTAGGTCCTGTAACGTGATCTGTGGTATTCTTTTCTCCAGGCTGGCAGTTTTACTTTCTTTTTGGTTTATGCTGTTAACTTGTTAACTTGTAATGTATAATTAGATAAATGGGAGGTAGCGATAGACAGCGGAGTGCTTCTTTCTTATTGTTGTGGTATAAACTATTGGATTCAGCTGGCATACTTGGAAAAAAACCCAGCAGGTATAGGCCAAAAATACACAAGAGGACTTTTTGATTCCAGGTGTGTTTTGAAATTCTGTTGAAGTTAATTCTGAAACTGTCTTTTTCTTTCCTGTAAAAACTTACTGGCAGGTGATGATGGCTCAGGTAAAACCACGCTTATGGCTAAAATACAGGGAGCGGAATATGGCAAAAAAGGAAGAGGACTGGAATACTTATATCTAAATATTCATGATGAAGACAGAGATGGTAAGGTCATCTTATATGTAATCTGTTTATGTAATTAAGTAGCTGACATGTTTTTATGTAACTCTGGCTTCAACTTTGGGTCACACCCAAGTAGCTGGTTCCAGTGTTGCTGTGTATGTTCTGTAAGGTTTTTTGATTTCTTAAGTGAAGGGCATTTTATGTTCAGATTTGGTCTATTTCTTGCCTGTTTTATAGCTTCACCTGTGAATGAGGTAGAATTGCACTTGACCTATTGATGTAGCTCAGGATTCAATTAATTTCAAGGTAGGTAAGTTTGTTGGTGTTGAGTTACAAGGAGATTATTTTCATTTGGTAGAACTGCCTTACAATTACAGAAAGGTGGTGATACATCATCAAAACGGTAATATGGATATCAGATCAAAATTTAATATGAATTTTGGGGTTTAAGGTTTTCTTGGTTTCTTGAGCAGTGTGTGGAATTTTGGTGAGCTGTAGCTGAGCCATTTTGTTGGAGTTGAATGAGTAAAGAACAGAACATGAAGTCAGAAAGTATTTCTCAAATTGCGGCTTTTCTCACTGTCCCTTTTTGTTGCTGTTGGTGATTATGATGATAGCTCTTCTTTTTAGGGTTTGGAAAGCAAGAGGCTGGTCTAACAGTGAGAATACCACTAATCTCATTTCATCTATTCTGCTGAAGGTTAGAGACAGGGAAGAAATGAAGAGTGAGCTTGTTATCCTTGCTCCTAAATCTGCCTGTGTCACTGAACCTCTTTGTGCTAGTTTTCCTCTCCCAAAACTGAGAATGGTGGTCTTTCTGTTCACGACCTTCTGAGTTTACAGTTGGGAAAAAGGAAGCAATGATGGTAGAAGGAAGCAATGATGGTGGTTTAACTATGTTCCTGAAAAAAAGATGAACTGGGAAGATCCTATTGTGACATTTTGGGAATGGAAATGTACTGAAGGTTTGCATGAGTTATTAAGTACTGTATGCGTCTGGTTGTTATGGAGATTGGTCTTGTGCTCATATGGTAATAAACTGTCGTTAGATACTAGATTCGGCACAGTTCATGTATGAGCTCATTGCCTGTGTCATCAGTGGGTGCCTGATGTTACAGTTCCTAAAAATGTTCTGTGGTGTAAGTTTCAGCATTGAGGCCATTCCTTACTGCTTGAGATTCTTCACGTGTATGCTTCCTCACTGTATATCATCTTCTTCAGTACTGCGTAAATAGATCAGAGTGAAGAAACCCTAGGGCTGTGAAGATGCTGTGTGATACTGAGCTTAGGGCAGCTACAAAGGGGATGGTATTACAAGCAGATGTAACATAACGTAAGTTAGGTGTGATGTTCTTAATGGTGCTATTAAGCCTCAAGTATGTCCCTACTCTGGAAATATTTGGGGCTATTCCTGAAAGCAGTAAGTATTTGTGGTGGTTAGGAGAGGCTTGTTGTAAGAACTCTGGCAGTGTGTAGCGGGAAAAAATCAGACCTTTTTGACTAGCTGACTCAGCTGGATAATTCAGGTTTTCATGCATCCCTTTAGTAGATGTGTTAGGATCTAATAATATCTGCATCTTTCCTTTTTGTCTTGTTAGCGTCATCAGCAAGCTAAATAAATAGCAAAGTGGGTCAGGACCTCCTAACAGATGAAGTTAACACTCTGATTTCTCCAGTACATGCTCTGTTTTGTTTTTTTAACTCTTCATATGCTTTAGGTGCTCGTATTTGGATACAGTTTTGGGAACAAAACCTTTATAACTGTCCCACAGTTCTTGGAAGCCATGAAGAAACGAGATAGGTGGTCAGAAGCTCACTGCCATATATTCATTTTTGAGGGTGTCTGCTTTTTACTTAGTCTACTTGAGACCAACAAACCACATGGATTTATTTCCAGAGGTGTCAAGTCAACACTGATAACTGAGCCTCTGCGTCAGGGTGAAGAAGGTCTTGTCAGCTTCTTTTCCAAATGCTGGAAGATGACTTTTCTGTAAGCCCTTTTTTTCTTTTTGGAAGAGTTTATTATTTCCATGAAAAATATTTTCATTATAGTGCCGAGTCATTATCTACTTCCTACCTCGCTTTGCAAATCTTAAGGAAGTCTTCTGTGTTGCTTCTTATTTCCACCTCCTGCTCCCTTTCCTGTCTTACTTCTTAAAGGATGTTTGTATCTGACTCCTCTTATGTTTGACGGAGAGTCACTTTGCTTCATGCTGGGTGACCCTGGGTGTATGATTTAGTTTACTGTTGTCTGTTCACCTAAGAAAAGTTACACAGATGCATATAAATTTTTTTAGCACCTCGGTGCTTAATATAGGTGCCCACTGACTTGTTTGTTTTCATTGGCAGTGGTGGATACCTTGCTTGGGTGTCAAAATGCATATTTGGTTCGGTTCTGTTTCTGTCAGGCATTAGATGGTTGCTGTAACACATGCTGCTTTGATCTTTAGGCCTCAGGATAACTTAGAGTTTCAGTACTGGACCTCTTCTACCTGAAAAATCTCCTCCTTAGAGTACTATCCCAAATTATGCCTAGGCCAAGGCATTTGTTTATGCAGAGACTCAGGGACACCTAACCAGCAGTACTAAGAGAGAGGATTCTCCTAAGATACAGTATCCTTTGAGCATATGGCTTCTATGTATATGGCACCTCAGTTCATCTGGATGAAAGTACTTACAGCACTAGCTGTAGAGTTATCTCAGAATATTTAATAGCCTTGGAGCTCAGGCCCTAGAATCCTCTGTTAGTGGCATTTCCCAGGGATGTAAGTTAGAATTTGTTGCCTTTGTGTTGAGCAGGTGTCTTTGTGTCTGTGCTAGTCTGTTTGCTTTTGAGAGCTGTGTTAATTGGTAGGGTGTAGATGGGGGAGATCTGCGTAATTTTCTTACAGTGTTTATTTATGGAGTAGCGTTCGGACTCTCATAGGATCATAGGTCACAGTTAAAGAGACGGTGTGCAGCAGGTAAGTGAAATAAACTACATCAGCTGTTCAAGTGGCTGGCTTTGTAGCAATGCCTGTATGGGTTAGCAGGCAATTATAAATACCATAGAGATCTTTCAGTTGGTCTTCAGATTACCTCTGCAGTACAGTTGGCTTTGGCTGTGCCAAACGTGCAGGTGAGATACAGTCATTCATACTTGTAAGAAAATCAAGTAGTCTTTTTTTTGCCTCAGGTTTGGACTGGCCTCAGTCATATCATGTACATATTCCAGTTGAACTGGTTATTCCAGCGTGAGCCAAGGGCTACTGGTTTCTAATGGGAAATTTTTTTGTCAACATCTTTAAACTAGTTCTACTGAAAGTGATTTTCTCCTGTTTTCTTCCACGTATGGCTTGAATAAGATATGT